GGCTTCTACTAACCTCTCTTGCTGCAGGCTCGAGATGATCGACAGCGAGCTTGCAACTCGGCGGGCGAACCGACACAGTCGCAGCAGAGCAGAGCGCAGTACAGTACGACGGAGCCTGCTGCTTTTTGCTTTGGACGCGGCGGATGCGTGCGTCAGAGAGAACTGTTCGCCCTGGGAGACGAAGAGAAAGCAAGTGCAGAGCCGACCGAACAGACGAACGCAGAGCCATGCACCCTTGCGATACCTGAGACTCGAGGGGAAGTCGAGATCGCCGACCGAGCGGTCGAAGTGGGACCCGCTCGCCAAGAGAAAAGCGAGTAATCTCCGTTCGATGCCAAAGAACGCAGAGCGCATGCGAGCCGGAGGAAGGAAGCGCTGGACTGTCCCGCTGTAAGCAGGCCGACCTTCCCAATCGCTCATCGTTCCGTCGTGAGCTGAAGAGATGCTGTCTCGACAACACGGACTGGTTACATGGAGCCGTCCGAGACCAGCTACGGACGACGAGGCGGATGCAAGCGAGAGGACGACAGGCGAGGCGGCGAGTCGAGTCGAGGCGAAGGATGCGACGCCTCATCGCTCGAGATGGCCTGAGTGCGGGTTGACGGTGCAGTCGACGTGGACAAAGGCGCGCTCAATCCCGCTAAGCTGCTCAATGGCGTACTGCGGGGATGAAGGAGCGTCAGCGACTGCGTGTAGCGAGGAGAGGGAGAGTCTCGAACGCACCTGGCACGCCTCTCCGAGGTTGTGCGACGCAGTCAAGCTCGTGCTCGCCGGCAAGACGATATCCACCTCACACACCATCCCCTCGCCGGAATAGTACAAGCTGAGGTGCTGGATAGCCTCGACGAGCGGCGAGAAGCGAGTGAGGAGATAGGCGATGCGCTGGTGTTCTTGCGGAGGTGCGCGGCGACCGGTCAGCTTGCGGACGTTGTCGAGGAGTGTGCGAAAACTCGACAATGACTGCGAAGGGCCGGTGGAGCGCGTCAGCAAAAGGGATTCCGTGAGGAATCTGAGCTACGAAGCCATTCTTGAGGGGTGATGGGATTGCGAACGCACTGTAGAGCGAGAGGAGGGCACCTCCCATCGCGTCGAGGTAGCGGAAGCCGATGAGCTGGCCAGCAAAGGGGAAGAGAATCGAGAAGAAGTTGAACACGATCTACGCCGGCGTTGATAAGTCAGTCTGGGAGATCAGGGCCAAGAGACCAGCACTGAGGACACACGTCGTTCTCCGCATCCTGCTGCAGAGCTTCGACGGACGCGCTCTTGATAGCTCGGCAGCTGAGCCAGACTCCCGCCTTGATGACAATCGTTGACCCCATGACGAGGAGTGCAACGAGCGGCAGGCGGGTGAACTCGAGATTTTTGTCGAAGAGGCGGTTGACGGACTCGATGAAGACTTGAAGGAAGGACGAGATCATGAAGACCGAGAAGATGAGCACGCCGAGCGGCTCCATCTTGCGCTTGCCGGTAGGGTAGATGTACGACGACTTCCAGTCGCGGTGTTCAATGTAGCGACTCGTGCCGAAGATAATGACGGTCGAGAGGAGGTCCATAGCCGAGTCGACGGTCGAGGCAATGAGCGACATCGAGTGCGAGAGGAAGACGACAGCGATCTTGGCGATGATGAGGAGGACGTTGATGGCGAGGTTGAAGTTGATGGCCCACTTGACGGCCGCGCGGTGATCGTCCTGCTTCTCCGAGCTGTGCAGGCCGACAGGCAGGAGTTCGCCCGTCGCAGCCTTGGCTCTTGCGTTGTCGAGGATCTCGTCAACCTCGATGAAGGCGTCCTGCGCGTAAAAAAAGATGGTCAGCGATCTGTCAAACAGGGAGAAGGAGAGGAAGACGCCGACGCACGAGTTGCTCATTCTGCCGCTCGTAGAACTTCCGCACCTTCTTCGGCATCTTCTTCAGCTCCTCATCCGACTTGCGGAACTTCTCGTACTCGCCAGCGCGGTCGTCGATCAAGCCCGTGAGGCGAAGAATCGACTCGGTCCGCTTGAACGGCGCCCCCTCGTTCAACGTCAAGTAGTTCCCGTGCGGACTTCCCAGCGTTCCGTATCCGTTCTGCGGCAGCGTCCGTCTCCGCTTTGGCGTCCCCCTCGCGCTTCTTCCGTTCGCGAGCAGAGCGTCATTCTCGCTCTCGCCGCCGGTCGACTCGAGCGCCGACTCCTCGTCGAGGTCGCACAGGTGGTGCGAGGGCGGCGTGCGGGTGCCTTCGTCGTGCGAGTAGCGGCGGTAGGAGAGGTGCGTCGTCAGGGGAGGAGGATGGTGGGGAGAAGCAGGGACTGCGCGTTCCCTCGAGGTCGAACAGGACGCTGGGGACGACTCTGCCTCTTCGTGAAGAACGAATGTCGGTTTCTGAGCCTTCATCGAGCCAGCACGAACCCGGAGAAGCGGTTGAGGTGGGTGGTCGAGGACGAGGGATCGGCTGTTCACTGATGAGGCGAAGACCACCTCCCTCATTCTCGCCAGACGGGTCGTTGAAGCTCTATCAGAACTGCTCTAGTCCTATCCAACCGTGCACGACCATTCCGCCACTTCTGGAAACCACCGTGGACGACGTTTCGTCTGTTACCCTCCTCGCCTCGAGACGCCCCCCTCGTTCCGCTCTTCTCACTCAGTCACGTCCATTGCACCGCGCACGACAAGAGCGTCCGCGCTACGAGGATTCGAGGAACCAGCCCGCGCCGCGATCACTTCTCCCTTACCCTTCCTCCCGCCTCATCCTCGTCTCGCCCAGCTGATGGCAGAGCACCCTTCGCGCAAGCGAGAGCGTAGCTCGTCGTCGCCCTCTCTTCCTACCTCCCGCAATGAACGCCCGACACCCCGCTCGCCTCCTCCCATTCGACCCCTCCCGTCCCAACATGTTTCGCCAGAAGCCCTCGCGTTCCTCGAACACTACCGAGACTGCAGCACGAGCATCATAGCGACATACCAGAAGTCGCTCTACGAGCAGTATTGGATGAGGGAGAACGGCGCCATCACGGACGGTGTCCTGCATCTAGCCTACGCGCCAGACTCGCCCCCGAAGAAGGCTGCGCCTAAACATCCGGACATCGTGCGGGCAGAGTATGAGAGAATAAGTGCGACTATTGACTGGATGGTTGGGGAACGCGGTTCCTATGGCGCGGCATTGGTGGTTTACGGGCAACCAGGGTGCGGTGCGTGACCTTCTCTGCGTTCGCTGCCGTTCCGAAATACTGAGGCGGACGCTCGTGCGCAACAGGAAAGTCTCGATTTTTACGAATCGAACGAGCGCGATTGTTCGAGGATGGGCGGCCGTGCATCGTGACGACCACCGAACGGTCCACCTTCGACTTGTACTGCGACGCCGGCGCATTCTTCGATATCCCCTTGAAGGAGCTGGAGGCCCTTGACCTCCTGATTCCTACAATCGCGCTGGTCGACGCGGCCGAGGGAGTCGGAGTTACCGACTTGCAGCACGCCTTTGTCCACGACTTCATCCCCAACGTCGTCGTTGTGTTCGCCACTTCGCCGCGGGTCCGTCGGTGGCAGAAGCTTTCGAGCCGTCTAGTACCAACATTGTACTGGACGATTGAAGGGTGGCCAGACAACGAGATTGACGCACTGCAGTACGTCGGCAGCTCGCTTGCGCGTAGCTTCAACTGACCACCACCTTCGCTTCCCTTCAGGAAACTCGTCGTTCTTCAACCACGCTCAGTCTGGACCAACTCGCCCCGAGTTTCCCTTCGACAAGCAGACCGTGCATCCCACTCCACGCATCTTCCGCCGCCGATCGAAGTGGTCCGCCCCCTTCCGTCCGACGTCTCTCCTGAACTTCGATACCGCGTGGCCATCAGGCCTCCTAACGAGGGCGAACCGCTTCCTCCGCCGTCCACCTTCCTCCCCAAATCAAGGATCACCACTACCACCTGCCGGCCGGTATTCCTTCCGCCAACCCGCTCTACTCCCTTCCCGAAGCCGTTTATCTCCTTGGACGTACTGTCCGGAACCCCCTTGGCGCGGTCGCGCGGTCTCCGCGTCCCAAATCCTGCCCGCCCGAATGGCGCCTTGAAGACCTCTTCACCGGTCTCCCGCACTTCAACAGTGTCTTCTCAAGCCTCGCCCAAGTCAACCTCCTCTCGGGCTTGCCTGATGCACCCGAAGCGGACGTGCAGGCTGCCGAGGACCTCGCCAAGCTCACGGATGAGATGAGGATCAAGGAGGACGACCAGCAGAACGGCTTTCATCAGGTCTTTGCCGAGGTTCCTACGCCTGACGTCGCGCGCCCGTCCCTTCAATACCCGCGGTCGATCATCGTACCGGCTTCGGCGCCTCTTGAGCGCCTGGCGCGTGCGAAACTCCAGGAGTTCACGCTCGACGATCTCGCACGACATGCACGATCCTTCATTCACCACCCGGTTGTGTACGGGATCACTCATGAAGTGTACGCCGCCCGGATTATGGAGCTCTGCGGCGCTCTGGCCGTTCTCGCCGACGGATCGACCTTCTCGATTCCTCGATTGTCGCGCGTCAGCATCGTTCTCCCCCTCGTCAAGACGACCGCCAACATCGACGAAGACGATGCAAAAGTCGCCGAGGCTGTCGCCAAGTTCGACTACGATGGCCTCTCTCACCAGAAACCGGCCTTTCCCCTCGACGAATCCTTCGCCTCGACTGGCTCGACTCTCCCGCGCCTCGCCTCGGGCCTCTACATCCCTCAAGCCGGGTTTCCCACACTCGAGGGCGTCGCCATATATTACGACGAGGACGAGCAGCTCATCGTCTCAGCCCTCCAGATGACCGTCAGTGGCCGCCACGACCTGAAGCTGAGCGGCATCCAGTCACTGTACATTGCTCTCGGTCCATACGCCAAACTCGCCAAGTTCCGCTTCGCATTCGTCGTTCCCGCCGTCGACAAGGGCCTGGCGCTCATCAAGCCCGCTCGCGCGGCACTCCCGCCGCCCGCGTCGCTCGAACGCTCGAGGCGCAGCACTCGCAGCGACGCTCCAAGCCCATTCACCTGGTCTCGCGCTTTCATCGTGATCGACCCGAAGAAACCGGTCCACCATGTCGAAGCGGCCGATAACTAGTCCCTTGCTCGGCGCCTTGTCCTTTCTTCCAGCACCTTCCCGCTCTCTCTTTCGGTTCTATTTGTTTGTATTGCGAACAGTTCAACGGTATCCGCCAGAAGCCACTTCTCGCCTTGTTCTCTGTAACTCCTTCCCCTGCTCCTCATCTCTCTTCTCTTCGCCCGCTCGCTGCACAAGGCTATGCCTCGCCTCGACGACATTATGGACAACAGCTTGTACAGCATCGAGTCCCGCGTGCAGCTGAACGACGGCGAGACGTACCCCCGCTTTGGACTCGGCAAGTCTCCTGGTCGCAAGCTCCCGTGGGGCGCGCGAAGCTTACCAGAGCGTCTCTTGACAGGCGTTTACGTCACTGAGCCGGGCGCAGAGACCTACAATGCGGTGACTTGGGCTCTCGAGGTACGTTCGTTCGCATCATCTCCTCGAAGCGATGAAG